TTCCTTTTTCTGCTCTTTTTTTTTTTTTAAGCCGGTTGTCATTTCCTCTTCCAAGGCTGTTTGGAATGAGGAACAGGACCATGAAAAATGTCAAAATACCGTTTTTGCCTTCCCCTTCTTCAGGAGGGAGGGAGAACCTGGTTTTAAAGTTCTGCTGGCCCCAAAGCCCTCCCTCCTCTCCAGGAAGCAGCGGCAAAACTTCCTCCCACAGCAGGAATGGGATGGAGGGTGGGAGCGGGGATGGAGGGTGGGTGCCATGGGAGGTGGTGGGTGCCATGGATGGGTGGCAGAGCACAGGAGACAGCACAGGCTACAGCTGGGGACATCAGGGTCACCCACACCTGCTCCTGCAGCCGCTGGCACTGACCCTGCCGCCCTCGGTGCTGCGCCAGGGCTGGGGCCGGACATCGCCTGGGGCCGGACATCGCCTGGGGCCGGACATGGCCTGGGGCCGGACATCACCTGGGGCTGGGTCTGCAGCTGACCCCGGGTGGGCATCCCTGCAGGGCGGTGCTGCCCAAGGACGGCCCCCTATAAGGGACAGGAGGGACAGAGCAGGGACGGGGGTGGGGCAGAGCAGGTTCCAGTGACTTTGTGTTCCTCCCTTCTCCTCTCGGAACGCCCACACCAAATCCCATCCCTGCTGTCCCTGTGCCACCTGGGCACACGGCCATCGGCTCTGTCCCTCTATCCCACGCTGCCAAGGCAATGGGGCAAAGCAGCAGCAGCTCCAGGAGGGCACCCTGGGAGGGTCTGGAGAGCTGGGATTGGAGACACCCTCACAAGAGATCACCAAAATGGCCCGAATTCCCTTTCCTGGGGGAAGTTGCGGCCTGACCGCCACATCCCAACCCCATCCCTCTGAATCCTGTTGTGCTCCCAAGGAAAAATGAAGGGACTTCTTTGCTGACAAACCTCCAGGAGCTGGAGAGCTGTATGAGCATTTTACACCCCCGAGCACGCCAAGCCTTCCCCGCTCCCCCCCACCTCCCGCACAGAGCACTGCACCCTCCCACCCTCCCAGAATCYCCCAAAAAATTCCCGCCAAGGCATCCCGGAGCGGCGGTGATGCCTGAGCTCGGAGCTGCGGGTGCAGGGGGAGCCTCTCCCCTTCGCAAGCGCTGCCAGCCTCAGGCTAAGCTGCTTACAGGGCTCCTGCCAATCCCACCAGGCTGCGACTTCGCAACCCCCACCCCCTCCCCGGCTCTGTTTCCCACCTTCTCCACCCCTTTATCCCAGCGATTCCTCTCCCAACACCCTCGGCAGGGCACAGCGTGTGCAGCACAATCCCGGGGAGCCGCACGGGACACAGAGCCCAGTCCAGTGTCCAAGCTCATCCGGCCGCAGGAACCCCAGCCTGGAGCAGCTCCCGGCGGATCCGACCCCTCCCAGCCCAACCTCCACCGCAGTGTCCGAGTCCACGTGTCCAGGGAGGGTTGGGAGCGGCCACAGCAGTCGGAGARAGGGAGGAAGGTTGGTGGTCAGCAKCTGCGAGGAAGAGCTGGGCAGGTTCGGCGTGGAGCAAGGAGGAGGGAAAACAACCCAAGATCAACGGAAAAGGAGGCAAAGGGAGGACGCCAGGATTCGGGRACGGATCGCTACCTTCTAGGCCACAGCCAGCGGGGAACGGGGAAGGGGCAGTCGGTGGTCGGTTGGCGGAGGGTTGGTTTGGTGTCACTCACGATAGAAAACATATTCGGTGTAAGAGGTCCAGATCCTGTCGTCCGTCTGCTCGTGGGCGAAGGCACAGGTGCCCGTGGAGTTGCAGGCCACCATGTGGAAGCCGGCATCGGCCAGTTTGTCAAAGGCTTGCTCCAGGAAGGTGAATTTGAGGTAGTAGCGGGACGTGTACCTCTCCGGGGGCCGGTCCGGGTCCCTGCTCTCGTTCAAGGTGTCCCCAAAGACCTCCTTGGCCAGCGAGGTCTTGCCGCACACCATGATSCGGGCCACCCTGCGGAACTTGGCGTCCGTCTGGCTGTCCCTGCCCAGCGTGTAGGAGCCGCGGTAGCCGATGGTGATAAAGCCCGCCCTGCGGCCCTCGGCACCAGCGGCAGCGCCGGGAGCGGCGGATGCGGTGCTGGGCGGGGCGGCGGCGGCCGAGGTCAGGCTGCGGGCGGTGTCCGCACCGGGGGACAGCTCCTCGGGGTCGCTTTGGCAGGGATCGTCGCCCAGCGAGTTCTGCTCACTGAGCTTGGGCGCCAGCAGCTTCACCAGCTCCGGCAGCATGAAGTACTCGGCCTCCCGCTGCAGCCGGCTGCGCTCCGGGAAGTGCTCGGGCAGCACCAGCTGCCGGTCCCGCATGTAATCCAGGATGTAGCGGAACAGGAACCCGTCGCGATCCACGAAGAAGCGGCCCTTGCTGTCGCGGGCCAGCGAGCGCACGTTCTTCTGCGTGAACATCTCCCAGAGCAGCGAGCCGGGCACGCTGACCAGCGTGGGGTGCCGGGTGATGTACACCTGCCCGCCCACGTTCAGCTCAATGATGTCAGGGAAGGGGTTGTTGTCCTCGCCGCCTTTGGCACAGCCCGCGGGGTCTGCCAGGGCCATGGTGAGCTCCCGCTGCTCCCACCTGCGGCACAAACGGGATAAAACCACGTTAAACTGACAGAAAGCACAGCCCATCGCCCCAATCCCAAGTGAYTGGAGGGGATCCTGAGGGGGCCCAAGCCATTGTCCCAATCCCAAGTGACTGGAGGGGATCCCAAGCCAGATCACATGTGTAATCACRGAATTCTTTAGATTGGAAAAGCTSTCCAAGATCACTGAGTCCAGCCCAGGGATGGACCSTGCCAAGCCACCACTAAATGCCTGGTTGGGGTCAGCAAGCAGGGCAGGACCAGCTTCTTGTCTGTCCAGGAGTCTGGAATTCATCTCTCTCCCCCAGTCCCTGGCTATCAGAACAGGCAGCGTTATCCAAAGCCACCTCCCCTTCCATGGCACACTGCCCCTGCTGAGACCGTGCCATCTCCACCTGAGCCCTGCAGACAGGACAGGGCTCAGCCCCTCCGCCCAGGAAAGATGCGGGGCCGTGRGGCTGCTGTCAACAACAGGAAAGGCAGGGCTGTCACACCCCGGGGACCCGCCAGCTCGGCATCCTGCGGGGCGGGAGGAGCCGCCAGCCCGCCAAGGGAGGAGCTCCCGGCGCAGGGGCCCCCGGAGCCGGGGCTGGAGGGGCCGAGGTGCCGCGGCAGGACCACCCCCGGGGCTGGAGGAGAGCGGCGGCAGCGCTGGGAAGGACAGAGGAGCAGAGGGACAGAGGGGCAGAGGGGCAGAGTGACAGAGGGGCAGAAGGCCAGAGGGACAGAGGGACAGAGGGGCAGAGGGACAGAGGGGCAGAGGGACAGAGGGACAGAGGGGCAGAGGGACAGAGGGGCAGAATGACAGAGGGACGGAGGGGCAGAGGGACAGAGGGACAGAGGGGCAGAGGGGCAGAGGGACAGAGGGGCAGAGGGACAGAGGGACAGAGGGGCAGAGGGGCAGAGGGACAGAGGGACAGAGGGACAGAGGGACAGAGCCTTTGGCGCTGCTGCTCTGCCCTTGCTCCTGGAAAGTGCTTAACACAGACTCGAAGCCAAGCCGGGAGATGGCAGAACCTCTCCAAGGGGCTGGGACCGAGACAAATCCTGGGCTGCTGCTCCAGCCCCGGGCCAGATGCCATGGATTTATACAATTTCCAAAGGCAAGCCGATTCCTGGATATCTCTTGACACTGCAAATCAGCAGCTTACATAAACCTGGCTCAGCAGCCCGAGCCTGGATCCACGCCGTGCTCYGGGCACGGATTTGGGAGACCGCGGACGGAAGGGGCTCCCTGGGCTGACCTCCAGCTCKGCCCCCTCCCCGGGTGATGCTGGTACTGCCCTGGGTCTGCTCGGAGGGTGGGACCCCCCAGGACTGGCCCCACACCCAAAAAAACAGCCCCAATCTCGCCCCGTCCCCGTGTCCTGCCGCAAAGCTTYCCCGGAGCTGCTCCAAAGGATCCCAACACCCATTTCGGAGAAAAGAAAGGACGAAGATAGAACTCTGTGAGCACTTTCGGGCACGGGGGCAGAGCTGAGCCATCGTTTCATGGCCACACTCCTCCTCCCGGCTCGCGGGGAGAATCGTCTTGGAACAAGGAGTGACTTGGGCAAGGAGGAGACTGAAGGATGGAAAGAGGATCAGCGCTGTCCTCCAGCTCCCCGGTCCCCTCCCGCAGCGGCTCCGGCTCCCTTTCCCCGCTGGTTCCATGCCCACGGCACAGCCCTGCGGGCAGGAGCCGCCCGTGACCGGAGCTCGCATCCCTTTGTCACTGCTGGAGGAGCTTGGGGGGGCTGCCCGAGGAGGGCTGGGGACTCGAGGGGGACAGGGAGAGCGGCCCCGCTGTCCCCGCTGCCCCCCTTCCCCGCCCCCCCTTCCCTCCGGGCACGGAGYCGGCGGTGACAGCGGCGGGGACACGAGCGGGGACAGCGGCGGGGAGTGCCCGGGGACACGAGCCCGGGGAGCCGGAGCGGTCCCAGCGCTCCCCGGCCGGGGGACCCCGACCCCGCCGTCCCCGTTACCTCCGCAGGGCGGCCCGGCCGCTCCGCCGTGCTCCCCTCCGTGCCGCTCCGTGCCGAGCCGGTCCCCGCCGCGCCGGTCCCCGTCGCTCCTCTCCGCCCGCCCGGCCCTGGCCCCGCGGTTTTATGGCCGGGAAGGCGGCGAGCGCCGTCCCCCGCTGTCCCCGGGACCCCCCGGTCCCCCCCTGTTCCCGCATCCTCCATCCCCACATCCCCCCTCCTCTCATCCCGCATCCCCACATCCCCTGTCCCTGCATTCCGCGTCCCCACATCCGCTGTCCCCACATTCCCTGTCCCCAAACACCCCCCGGGGGCCGGGCAGGAGTGGGGAATTCCAGGGGGGCCCTCATCATCCCCTGGGAATGCTGTGAAGCTTGTGAAAAAGGAGGGAGAGGGAATTCTAGCACAGAGAGATAGTGCCAGGACAAGGGGGGATGGCTTTAATCTAAAAGAAGGGAGATTTAGATGGGAYATTGGGAAGGAATTGTTCCCTGGGAGGGTGGGCAGGCCCTGGCACAGGGTGCCCAGAGAAGCTGTGGCTGCYCCTGGATCCCTGGCAGTGTCCAAGGCCAGGCTGGACATTGGGGCTGGGAGCAGCCTGGGACAGTGGGAGRTGTCCCTGMCATGGCAGGGGTGGCACTGGATGGCTTTAAGGYTCCTTCCTACCCAAACCATTCCAGGATTCAGTCCATGATTTGGCTCTAATTCCAAATCCACCCAGCAAAAACCTCACAGCAGCCAAACTATTGCTGTTCCTGGGATGATTTTACATCTTGAGCTGTAGGGGCTGAAATCTCCTTTCCCAAGGTAGGAATGACACCAGTGGGACCAGAAAGATCTTAGGCTGTTGGGGCAGCCTKTTTGTCCTGAGTGGAATAACCAAGCAAGGAAAGAGAATCCAGACTTTTTAATTTGCCTGAAATGCCAGTTTTGTATAAAATTGGGAAAATACTACAACTCCAAACAACATCCCAATATTTGCCCATTTCCTGGAAGTCTGATGAAGCTTTAATCCCAAGATTCTGTGACAGCAGAGCTGGCTTGATTTTATCCATGGATTTTTGTCCCTGTTAAATTTTGTATGGGCAGAAGATACAATTTCTTCTTCTCCTACAAATCAAATCCCCGAGTCTGGGCACTCATATCCAAGGAATTTCTCTGTTTGGGTTTCTCCTTGATGTTTTCTTGTATCCCAGAGCTGTTTTATTATTTTCCCATAAATTGCAGGAACTCTTCTCTGTGGATAATTTGTGGGATGTATTTATAGATGGGG